GCCAGGGGTCTCCGGGCCAGCTGGAGAGAACTTAAAGGAAAACAAGCAAAAAAAAAAAAAAAAAAAAAAAAAAAATTAAAAAAAAAAAAAGAAAAAGAAAAAAAAGAAAACAGAAAAAGGCCTAAGCTCTGTCCCCAAGAGTGCTGCTTCCACATTGTTTCACCCTTCATAGCCTCAGGGCCACTCCTCCACTTTCTCTCATAGTTTTCAAGAACAGTCTCATCTCAGGATGAGTATTATGGACTTCACCAGCAAGAATTCACAGTCTTCTCAAGAACTACTGCAAAACCTTTTATGTGAAATGCCCAAACAACTTGCAAATATGTATTCACTAAATTACATTCCAGTCAGTGACATTATATTATCACTATCTGAGGAACACTTACGATCATGTGTAAATCCATTGTTTTCAAAGCTTTTCATGGAGGAGAGGCTACCATGTCGCCCTGAAAACTCAGCTTCTGAGCTTACTAACATAGTTTTCTAAGGACTTTCCCAGGAGAGTAACTGTAAACATAGATATGTGTACATTCTTTCTGTTACACGTCTTGTGGTGGACATCTCTCATGGCCAGTGCAGTGGGAAAGTGTTATCCTGACCATCCAATCCCTGGCCATGGTCACAAGCCTATAAATCTTGGGAGGAAAAATAAACTGTGCTCTTTCTTGCACCACACCTCGACCTGTGTCCGCGTGATCTATTCATCTTCAGCGGTAACACTACCATGTTCTTTTTCCTGGAATTATAGAAATAAGCATATCATAGGGATGGCAGAAGGGAATGTACAGTAGAGGATTAATGGAAACTTGATATAATTGGTATGATTTTCACTAATTATGTCATTGCCTCCTAATATATCACCATCTTTACATTAAGAAGGAGAATTAAAACCCAAAATATGGTGATTTTAAGCTGTGATTCACACTTCGTTCTATCTGCTCTCCTAAGCCCTGGATCTGTGCAGCAGTAAAAAAGGTACAAAGTGATAAAGCAGAGAAGCACTGGAGATTTTTAGTTCTTACCTTTTAGCAAGCTGATTTGAAAATTCACACATATATTTAATGGTGTTCTGTTGGCTGTTTTGCTTCTTTCAGTGGCCACTAGGCTAAGAAGATGAGGGCTTGAAAAAAGCAAAGCTTGAAATTCCTGCCAGAGGTGAATGGTAAGGACCTCCTGGGAATCATTTTTTTGTATGGTTTCAGGCATATTCAGTTTGATAACTTAATCTCTACAGCCAGGTAATTTAACAGTAGTCCAGGAATAAGTGGCAACACAAGGACCAGGCAGAAAAAGAGTGGGAAAATGGTAGAAACCTCAGAAGAATGGCTGAAAGCTGAAAATGTCTGAAAGTAGTGCTAACTGTGCAAGGAATACAAATTATAATGATGGATTAGGGATATCCATTCTCTCTGCCTTTTCTCTGTACTGAAAAAATAATTTTGTGGGAACTTGTTATGATTGTCTGTTAATGTTTGTATTTGAGGAAGGAATGATATGGGATTGAATGATACATGCATCATTAATTTTGGTCATAAAACAATCTGAGATTTTGGCAGCAAAACAATCAGAAAAAGGCTATCTGTTCTTTACTGTTCTTTATTGTTGAACTTTAGTCATAGAAATTTTTTTAATGTGGTGAACATATAGTCCTGAAAACACACATCCCCATTTGGTGCTTTTTCTGCTTGGGTCTCTGGGTTATTAGGAAATCAAACTTTATCATGTTCCCATACATTGGAATGAAGCCTGACTCTTGCAGGGAAGACAAGTTGTTGCTCTTAATATATTTATTTTCCAGAGGTCATTTAAATGGGTTTTTATCATCTTTGTTGCAGAAAATATCAATGTGACATTGTGAGGACTCTGAAATAGAGTAACAAGACTTTTCTTATGTGGAATCCCAAGAAAGTCCTGGTCTATAGAGCTCAGATTTTTCCCATGAAGCTCAGAGAGGTGACTCCTTTTCCCAGGATCTTTCCTTTCCTTGAGCCTCTAAGAAACGTGGTCCAGTGGAAGCTGTCCCTACACATAACAGGGGGGTTGGAATTAAGTGTTCAATGAACTTATGATCATTAAGGTCCCGTCCAACCCACAGCATTTGTCATGGCTGGGGGTAGGACTTTATTTGTATATTCACGAGAGGTGTTAAGAAGGAGCAGTTGAGGTAGGAGCAGATTAATTAATACTTCCTTATTTCCAAGTCTAGTCTTTGATGGAATGATGATTATTTGCTTGTCTTGCATTCATCAATAACAGATCTTACCCTGCTGCCTCCCCTTCTTCCTTTAAAGAAGAGCTCTAAATGCAAGTTCTAGTAGAAGAAGCTGTCCAGGAGTCTGAATGCAATCTTCTGGGCATTTTATACAATCTTCTGCCCACCATTGCAGTAAAATACTGGAGTACATTTCCAGTTCTTCTCAAGCTGTGATGTGTTCCTGAATATGCATTTCACATTAACATTTACTATCTACAATGGGGTCCCTCTCTGGCCTCAAAAAACATAGGTAACCTCCCCTAAGGAAACAAGATCACCATTAAGATGGTCACAGAGAGAGAGAGACTAAAGTGACATTGTGTTTAATGAAATGTCTCCACAGCAGTCTCATCTCTTTGGATGTGGGACAGATTGTACAGCAACCTACCCTAAGCGCTATAGGGTGCAACCAGCATGGTGGGTGAGGACTCAAAATCCCTGTGAGCAGAGCAGCTCCTAGTCAGAATCACATACTCATTGCTCAGGAAAAAGTCTTGATGCACTGGGAAAAGAAATTTAAGCATTAATAGTTATTTTGTAAGCATGGTATCTTCTTGATCTGTGTTTCCAATCTGTTTTTTTTATAAAAGTCATTTTGATTTACATGTAAGAAACAGGCAACTTGGTGCTACTGAGCTGCTTTCAGGATGAGGCATGTTTTCAACAGACTTTTGACAATACAAGGGGTTACTACTATTACATTATTAATAGTTTCACTTATGTGCTAAACAAAGGAAAAAAATCCCTCAAATACCTATTTCTAAACATCTATTTCTGCTTGCTTTCCTGTTTATGACAGGATGAAGATATAGCTGGTTTAACTTTGTATTGGGACTCTGAGATGCTCCTTATTGTCACTGCTTCCATGGACCCTTTAGGTAAGATTCCTAAATGCATGATCCTCCATCTGGCTATATTAAAATGTGATGTCAGAAGATATTTCATTGTCTTCTTTTTCTAAAAGATAAATTCTAATGGGGTCTGACACTCTGTAAGCACTATAGCAAGGACTCTCTTCTGAATGTATTCTGATTTGGGTAATTTCATTCTCTCCACCAAAATTCTGCTGAAATTTTAGGTCCTCTAGCCAAACAGCATTTCTCTTTCCAATCATCATATTTCTCTACATGAGCAGCATCAACAAATCAAAGGCTTAAGCCTAAGACAACTCTGAATTCCCTGGGCATTTCTGCAACTAAATCTTGAGAATTAGTTTCTTTTAAAATATTTTCCATATAATTTGTGTTTCAAAGCACATTTTTTTTTTAACATAGGCCCTTTAGTTCATAACATAATCCTTTTAGTTTAGTGTGAATTTTGGATTTATTTTCAGGTTGTAAATAATGTATCCATTAAGCTGTATGTTTAACATTGCTCGGTTTCCTGTTAGTATTTACCCTGCAGTAATCTTCAGCAATAGAACAGTGAAAGGTTCTGTTTATCATTTGGTGCTCATTTATTATTAATCTAAGATTTGACAGACTCCAAGAGTCTATTGTTGTTTCTTGTGGCACATAAGTGAGCTAGAGGAACTGATAGATTGTTCATGTTCGATGGAAATAATAATATGCATTTTTCTGGAGTATTGATGTGTTTCCAAATATGCTACCTGTTAAAGGAGATAATTGTTCTGAACCTTTATGCTACTTTTGATTTAAAAATTTATTACACTAAGATCAATTGAAATTGTATTCCAAATTTTAAAAGGACAAGGAAATACCATAAAAGCACACAATAAAATTTTACTGGCATAAACTTACTTAATAAAACTGTTCTAAAATATAAAAGAGAGCATTGAATCTATTTTCCATCATCTTTAACTCTGAGGGTAGCAAGTCACATAAAAATACAGTACTTTTTGTGCATTTATAAATTCCCATATTTTTCTTTATCAGCATTAATATTAAGGAGATTATACTTCTAACACTTATCCACAGTCTTTTTTTCAAAAGTATGTTGAACTCCTAAATTTGAGTCCAGCTATTCTCAGGGAATTTAAAACAAATGAAAATGCCCACTGACAAATTATAACATTCAGCTGCTACTGGGAGTGGGTACTCCAGGTCTGGAGTGCTACCAGCTACAATTACTTTATCTACACTGTGCCCCCCCTCAGTTTATTGCCTCTGGTGTAAGACCAGTTATGTCTTACATGTCTTCTGTTATCCTCCTGCATTCTGAATGTGTCTTATTCATGCAAATAATACTATTTACCAATCACTCCTGAATATGCTTAGATTCTTTCGGAGTTTAATCAAAGCTACTTCCTTTTTTTTTAATGTACTTGTATCTAGGTTTATTTGAATTTATTTATTTTTGGAGGTAGCAATGTTAGCTCTGAAATATTTTTTTTCTATTTAGCAACTATTATCTGGCAATATACATGGAATGAAAGTCTATAATTTGACAGATAGCAAGGAAAATCAAAGTATCAAATTTAGATCAATTCATGGTGCAAATTCTTGGAAGTGGTTTTAGCATTTAGTGGGCTTTAAATTGGTGTAAAGCAACTACTGAAACAAAGCTAAAGATTTATCAAACTTCTTTTTATGTTTAAACATGGTAGCAGTACTCTGGAAGGTATGTATTCACATGACATTTTGTTAATCAGTTTTATAATGAAACAGCTGTGGAATTGCTAGTTCTGAATTAAGAATATTGCAAAAGTCAAAAGATGCCTGAGATGCTGAGCAGACAGACTTAGCAGAGACTCAGTAGACAGCTGAGACTCTTGGAGACCACAGAACTCTGATGATAATTACAATGCCAATAGAAATCTGTTAATTCAGATTTCTTCCCTGTGCATACCAGCTAAACTAAAACCTGACAAGCAGAAAAGTGATCCGACAATTTCTGTGGGTGAAAAACACACAGGATAGTTTGTCTCTGCCTCCTGTGGCTGAGGCAGGAAGAGTTCCCTGCTCATTCTCCCCTACTGGTGGAAACCTGCAAAATCACCAACTCTTGTTCTTCACCAAGGACCAGCAAGCTGTGAAAGTTGTATTTCTCTGTCATAAGGTATAATCCAGTGGAAGGATTAGGGGAATTAGAATAGTAGTTCAAGGATTCTTGTAGAAATCAGTAGAAAGGCATAAGAACACAAAAGGGAAAACAGTTCTTTAAACCTTTCTTTAACTTTCTCATATAGTCCCAGGCAGGTGGACAGGCAGGAACATACAGGAGTGTGCCCTGCCAGTCCCCTTGTAGCTGTGCAGGTATGTGCATGCACACACAGTTTTGATCCTGTTCTAAGTCCAGCCTGGAATTTGAAATGGGATGACCATCTTGCACTGTGGGAGGAACCTCTCCTTGTTGTTGTTGTCAACACTGGCAGGAGAGAGGAGGAGAACAACTCTGACGTTTGGAAACAGCACAGTTCATCCCAATAATCTCATAATCCTAACCATGCTAGCCTGTCTCCATAACAAAATTTGATTATGGGGGGCCCAAAATTTCCCTGTGAATGATTACAGTCTTCTTAACCTGCAAATAAAAGCAGTGAAGAAAACAGAACATTAAAGGCCTAATTAATTTCCTAGATAAGTTTTGAGTAGTGAACATATACGAAGAGCACATTACTCTGCAGTGATGAGGAATTGGTTTCCATGTCCCTTGTTATGATTTTGAATGTTAAATTCAGCCCCTGGGTTAGAAGCACTTAAGCAAGTGTTGTGTTTGGAGCAGAATAATTTGGCACACTCAGATTCCTCGGGGAATCTCATCTGAATCCCTTGATCAGCTGGGGAGGCAATAGGTCTACTGCAGGGCAAACCAAGTCTTCCATCTTCTTTTGGTTGTCCTGTATGCTGAATTTAAAGCTGGGACTGAAGACATCCTATCTTTGCTGCAACTGTTTAACACTCATGTGGGTATCACTAGCCAAATTATGATCTAATGTTTGAAAACATTTCCCGCCTTTATATCAAGCGTGTCAGAAGAAATCGATGGCCACCGTGAAACGGGATTTAACAGGATCCATCTGAGAACATTGGTAGGTAGGAAGATACCAGTTGTATATGGTAAATTATGAATGACTTATCTAAGCTGTGTATGCTCTAACACTATTAGGTCAAATCATTCCAGTAGATTCACATCATATCTTGTAAGGAATCGGACACTTTATTCTCCATAAATCACAATGTTAGTAGTAAACAACTAAAGAGTGGCTGAGTCTTTCATGTGATTGTCTACTTCTGCTGTAGAACATGATGATTTGACAATATATATTTTTTTTTTCCAGGACAGCAAGAGTGCAGTTTGATGTGCGCTCTGGTGTGTGTTGAGTTACAACTGTGGCATGGATCAGTTTTGCCTGGCTTGAACACAAGCTAGTTGACTTCATATTGCCTGTATACATTGAGACTTCACAGTAATTAACTCACTAAACTTAGTAAATATATGTTATTTGTTTGAAACTATGAGACTGAAAGGCATGTGTAGTACTGAAATAATTCAGTAAATACACATCTGTGCTCCTAATTCTTGCAGACTTTATCAATCCACCATCTGACATTTCCAGGAAATGCTTGTGTGTGCAATGTGGAGATCAATACCTTGTTGGTAGGAAATTACCTTTCTGTTGGTCTGGGAGATCAGTGTATTCAGAATCCAGGGTGCAGGTGCCTCTCTGTGTTTCATGTCCAAATTAACATGTTTTTCCTGGTATAGTCAATTGTTTCTGTTTTGCATTTTGGCATGCACCTTAAACAGAACACACAAAACTAGAAGTAATAATGGTTTGAGTTCCTGGCTGCATTGTTTTCTTCTCTGTCTGATAAGAAACCAAAGGATAAAAATGAAACTTTTTAGATTTTCAGTGAATCTGCAAGTGCCTTATAGGAAAACAAATAGGAATCTCCTAAAAAATGTCAGTAATAGACATCTTTGATACATTTTAACACAGTGAAACTGTGAAATATGAGAGTATGTTTGTGTAGTGAAGACAACCAGCAGCAAGGGATAAGAGCATTGGTGTTATTAATGCATTGCTGGATTTAGCCAGGAGATTTAGGCTGCAGGGTCTGCCCTTGTCTGACATGTAATACAGAATAAGGCTTTATCCTTTCTGTGCTTCTGTTTGCCCATCTTTAAAACAAGCAAAGCTGCTGACTTCCTTAGTGGGGAGACAGAAGGAATGAGAGAGAGGGAGGGATTTTTATTCCTCAGGGGTGCATACTTATACTCCTCACTCTGATGAGTATAAGGGTATTATAGACCTTTAAAGGAAGGGCAGAAAGTATTTTTTGACTATTTATGTCAAGATGAGAGCCAGCTTATGAACCAAGAATTGTAGAGTAGGCATGCAAGGTGGGGTGCTCTTTGCTTGACAAATGGTCACAGCAGACAGTTGATCAAATGGAATATCGAGAAGGGACTTGATAGAATGTCTAAATCTTCTCCTGGTTTCAAAAATATCCAAGAATAAGAAGATGAAGAAGTAGCTAAAAGTCAAAACCTCAGAAACTGAAATGAAAAATAGCACGCACATTCAAACAATGTGGAGAGCTTTGGGGGAGATATGCTTTTGCTAAACTCAAAATATTGCACTCAGAATCAGTGTAATTGAATGAAAATCTTTGGTCTCTGCTAGAAAGATGCTCTAATGGTTTCTCTGGCTTTAACACGGGAAGCTATGGCAACAAATGACTCCAGCACTAAGACTCTTTCCCTTCATTAAATGAAACAGCTGCTATTGAAGGATCTGCCACTGTTGTCTTCCCCTGAAAATCTCTGACACAGAAATTTAGTTCCAGAAGCAAGGCAGGTTGCCAGGTGTTGAGCTGAATCAGTGGCCTCTTACTTGCTTCAAGGGAAGGAGGCTGTAATCAGCTGATGGAAAAAAGACTTTATGTCAGTAATCAAGGACAGAGTTGAGGTTATTTGCACATCTTTGAAATGCCCAAGTTTTCAGTGTTTTAAAATACTGCTGATATGCTCTGATTCCTCAACATTTTTAAACAAACAAAAAAATGAGACCATGCTTTCTCTCCTGGGTATATTTTTTTCCCCATTTGTTTGGTTATTGGTTTTTTCTTTTCTTTTTTACAAAATTTGCAATAATTCTTTAGTTTCAGGTTTTCAGCTAGTGTGCAGATAGCACAAAATATAGACTACTTTCAGTGGACAAAAAGACTTTCAGTGCAAAAAGATTACATACATATCAATCATGTTACATTTTCCAAGTTCTGGTTAATGAGATATATCACACTAGCTACAATAACATTTCCTGTAAACATATAATAAAAAAGTAATGCACTTAGATTTCTGCATGTATAATTACATCTGTTTGTAGATGAAAGGCATACTACAGCAAATCCAAATGCATCCAAAATTTGTGCCAAGATCCCTATATTCTATCTCACTGCTGGGAATGTGAGCATTTCTGCAGGAGCTCCAAATGTATTTAAATGGAGATTCAGATTCAAAACTGGCCATACAATCTTCTGTTACTATTGCTATATTATTTTGTGATGTTTCCACACTTTTTGCTGACCATTTCCTACTTCCAGAGCTTTGGAGTTAGCAGCTCTTTGAGATAAATTGTATTGCTGAGGTCTGTGTCCTATTGTTTCAGAGTGCAGGAGGACATGGCTGCTGCAGTTGGCATTCTGCTCACACTCTCAGGCTTTTCCTTGCACCACAAAGGCTTTGCTAGAGCCCTTTTGTGCACGAGGGAAGCTGAGTACCTGGAACATATTTTGCAACAAGGGATAAACTACAGAGTCACCAAATCACATAGCATAAAGGACCCTGCTTGTAGCAGCACAAGTGTCTCAGTCAGGGGTACTTAAGTGTCCATGTGGACATAATGAACACAAATAAATTAACTGTGCATAATTGTATGCTTACTAACACAGAGGGAAGCAAGTTGGAATTTTTTTTTTTCATGCTGAGCCATATATATTTGCAATCCAAAGGCACAAGGCTTGGATTCTCTTGTTTCTCCTAGAAAGTAGGTAATTAAAATAAAAAAAAAAAAAAATTTTAATCAGATAATCATTCACACTGTAATGAGTCAGACAGATCTTATTTTCAGAATATTTTGACTCATTGCATTAGGTCTGGCTGGGATGGAATCAGTTTTCCCCACAGCAGCCCTTGCAGTGCTGTGTTTTAGTGCTTTATATCTGGAGCTAGAAAGTCACTGATAACACTCCAGTATGCTGACAGCTCCCACAGCACCAACACTCCCTCCCTCACCAGTAAGCTGGGTGTGGAAAAGACACACCCAGCATGTGAAGGGACACAGCCAGGACAGCTGACTCAAACTGACCTAAGGGATATTCCATATTATATGACATGTGCTCAGCAATAAATGTTAAGAGAAAGGGAGGGTGGGCATTCATTGTTTACAAAGTTTGTCTTCTGGAGCAACCACTACAAGCCCTGTTCCTGTGAGAGAGCTGGACATCACCTACTGATGGGAAGAGGAGATAAAATCTTTTGTTTTCCTTTGCTTTTGTGTGGGACCTTTGCTTTTGCTTTATTGGACAGTCTCTTTATCTGGTTCCATGACCTTTATCCAATTTATTTTCTTGCCCTCTCTCCTGCTATTCTGCTGAGGAGCAGGGTGACAGTGCAGCTTGGTGGGCAGGTGGTGTCCAGCCTACCACACTCACTGACAATTTATATTGTGGATAATAGATACCAAACAAACCTGATGTCACAAATTACAGGGTCATCCACAGCTGGCAAGGAATTTTGTGTCAGTTGCATGCTGCCACTGCAGAAACAGAGAAGCCAAAATGCACAGGAAAATGATGAATCAGTGTTCTGTTACAAAAAGCACTTCTCCTTAGTTGAATGTAAAGACTCTGAATCCCTGTGCCTGAGAGCACAATTGGAAGCATTAATTACAAGCATGGGGCAGAAGGTTTCATCTTCATTTGAATTTTGCCTCAGGGTAACAGGGCAATATCAAACCCTTGTCCCTGGCTTCTGGGCATCTTTAATTACCTGCCTCCAAGTTTCTAACCACCCTGTCTCCCTATCTGTCACCATGACAACATCCCTGCTGTCAGCATCCTGAACTTTCCATCTATGTTGCAGTCACTTGGAAACCCATCCAAGTAGTTTAAATAATATGGAAATAATTCAGACATATAGAAAGGCGAATGCAGGAAGGGAATTTATTTTCTCCCATCCCCTGGCAGCTCTTGGGAGGCAGGTGATTGTGGGGAATCCAGGAGTGTTCCTGGGGACTGCTTGTGAATGAAAACCTAAACACTTGGCTTGGTTGTCTTCTTGGATGAAAAAGCCTTTTCTCTATGACTTGTTAAATCCATCAGGTCTCTAGTCAATTGTTGCATGGGGTAGGAGTAAAAAAACCAGACAGTGGAAGGGGGGAGGCAGTAGAGAGGAGCACAGTGAAATGCATGTCTAGCAGCTGCTAGCTGAGACCTGCCTGGGGTACCTGGGGCTGCCAGCTCCCTGCTGCTGCAGATCACTCTTTTCTGCCTCACACAGCAGGCTGGCCCTTTGTGTTGTGCCATTCTGACTGTCTCAGCCGGCCACAACACACATTGGGCTCCTCAGTTCTCAGCAGGTTAATGAAATCCCTCAAACCCAGCTTCTTGTGTGCATAATTGCAGTTACACCGCACAAGTTGCACTGTGGTTTTACGGACCCCTTAGGAACAGATGTGGTAAGAGTGAGACTCATCTGTTGCTGCTCCTGTTAAAGATCCCCCAAAGCAGAAGCTGTTCTCAAGTGTCACCTTGTACTGTCACCCAGTGTTTCTCTCTCCCATCTTTTTGCCAGCTAGGTATGACGTATGTCTGTATTTGTAATGGACTTGGCACAGGATGTAATTTGTCTGCAGAGTACACTAGAAAGTAAACCAACAGATTTATGGGCATTCAGCTGACCATTAAAGAGCATACTAAATCTTACAGAAGATGACCTTAGGAAGAAGTGGGGAGTAAACAGAATATTGACCCATTGCCAGTCATGCTTATTACTCTCTACAACAGGGATTCTCCCTCTCTTCCA